CCCTCTCAGTTAGTTCTGCATCGGTCAGTTTTCCGGCCGCGCTCAGTGGATCTTCATCACTGTCACTTCCTCCTGACGTGTTACTCCGTCACGTCCAGGAGCCGGATCAGACCTCCTGTGGGAGAAAATCCTGTCACAGATTTGTCACACGTGGCATGGTGCATTATGGGAGATCCTCGAAGTGAGTGGGAGTTCATGATGAAGGATCATAGACTGTATGAAGGACACACACTGTATAGGCACAGATAGTCCTCTATTAGAGCAGTGCCCCAATATCATTATCCTACATTAAACTAAAAATAAAGCTACAGTGCACCTGATCCAAAGCTTGTGTTGCTTTTATAATTGTCTGCCTAATTATGACATATGAATTATATTCCTCCCCCATTCTAATTTGTTGGCACATAGTAATTGTATCTTGCCGTAAAAAATCAGCATCTTCTGATATTGCCCGTTATTTCTGAAGCACAATCTGAAAGCCTTCACTGGGAAGGTGTTAGACTTCATGTATTTGCGAGTATTTATGAACTTATGAACGTAGCAGTAATTTAACCAAGGTCTGACTTAGGTTTGTTTAAAATACATACATTTTAATATCCAAAAAGTACTAATTCGAGGAATAGATTTATGTAAAAGTAGGAAAAATCCCCTGCGTTGACTCTTTTTGAATGTGGGCCCTTTACATTCTTCATCCCGCTCACAGGAAGCATCACATGAAGAAGAGCAGCGTTTCATGTATTGACGCACACTTCAGCTCTGAGAGAAAAAAGGAAGATATTGTATATTAATGCAGCGTGTTGAAAAATTCAAGAGGATGGAAAACACGTCGGTTAGAGCTTCTCGAGTGCTTTTCTCTCAGTATTTATTTGAAGAAAAAGGTCAACTGTGGAGGGAGGCAGCGCAGTATTACTACTCAAGCCAACTCCGCTTTAATAATACACTTTTTAGCTCTCTTCCTCCTGATTTTGTTCTCCAGGAATGAGAGATTACATAATGCTGCTGACAGCTTTCTCTCGAGGTGTGTGTGCACGCTCGCTCCTGTGCATGTGTGCAACATATGAGAGCAAAATGAAGTATTTTTGCAAGACTTTAGGCGTCCTTTGGCACCGGGAGTCAACAACAGGAAGCTGATCTGGGTCAGTGACAGGGGAACAGGCTTCACCGCCCCCTGCTGGACACACACAGGAAGTGCATCTTTGTTTTAATTGGTCAAAGGAAGATGAAGAGCTTAGGTCAAGGGTGTCCAAACTGTTTTCACTGAGGGCCACATACAGAAAAACATACAACGGGCTGCTAGAGGTGAGGTATACTGCCTCATAGGTTAAATTATAATTCAGCAAAATCAATCAAATGTAGGTCAATTATGCTTTGAATATGATTTGAGAAACATCACAGCTCTCCAGAGGGTTTCAGTTATCCTGCTGCAGCTCATCCCTTAAAACAGGAGCCTCAGATTGCTTATAATAAGGGAAATATGAAGCTTGTTATGGAAATAAAACAAAGATTTGTTAGAACATGTTGTCAGCTCTAATTGACTGAATGTCTTTGAATAGTGGGCTTATTAACACATGAATACTACTGTGTAATGTAGGCTCACATATATATTTAAGAAGTACAATATAAGACGAGCACGAGTTTCAGGCGGGAGCCGTATACCATTATATTTTAAGAATTAGCTGAGGGCCGATTAGAAATGGACAACGGGCCGCATTTCATAGTTTGGACACCCCTGGTTTAGGGAATTTGTGTTTATAAAAAACAACAGTCCGACACTAGATAACAGAAGATAATACAGGTAACTAATCATCAGAACAAAAATGATATATTTGCAACGTAGCGAGGACATTTACATTAAAGTTAAAGCAAAGACAATAAAATGAGGAGACTAAAATACAAAATAAAGAGGCAAGTACAAATAAAATAAGAACACATGCAAGGTTAACAAATACAAAACAATTAAGTAGCAGCATTATGAACGTAAAGTTATAAAAATACAGTGTTATTAGTCTGTAGTGTATTGAAGTAGAAGCCAGTTATAACAATATTACATTGTAAATAAAGAATATATCGCACATAAGCAGTGCTAACCAAAGAACATGCTGATAACTGCTTTTAAATATCCTTTTTATAGAATAGAATAGTTTAATGTCATTATACATGTTCAATGAGATAAATGCTTCTCCCTTTCAAGGGTGCCATCAAAACAAAAACAAAACATCACAACATAAGACAACAAAATACATGCAGCATACATACTTAGGAATAAGGGATAAAGAATAAAGTGCAGTAATTATTTCCAGGAGTATAAAAATAAAATCTGTAATGTAATAAATAATAATAATAGTGTGTATTTATAATAGTAATGATATATATGTATATGTACAGAGTCACATTGATTCACATGTCAGGTGTTAAGAGCAATGATGGCTCTTTTATGAACATATCCTTTCGTAAACGTATTACTACTTTGTGAAACTGTTAGTGTTTTGACTTATTTGATAATGAAAGTTAATTCTTAATCTGTTTGATTGATTATTAATGATAACATGTGTGTGTTATTGAATCTTCTTGATATTATACATGAATGTTGAATCCATTGCTCCAGCCTTTTGACAACATATTGATATCGGGTTAATTATTGTCAAAAGGCAGGAGATAACGACCATCAGTGGAGCTGGTGATAAACTAAGAGTTTGGCCTTAAATTCAAATCATCCTGTTCAATAAGGTTTATCTATTGGAATGTATCCGGGTATATAAGTATCTTGCGTTTACAACAAAAACAAAATATAGAAATATCGGAGGAATTTTTGAAAACATAGTATTACTCCATTAATATATCTGGAAACAACTTATTTGGGAATGCTTTTACACACTATTATGAATAAGTAAGGGATTAATGTTTATAAAGCTTTATTGGTACATTATTTCCATCATGTTAAAACACAATGGATTTAGTGTCGCCATGTTTTTACCCAATGAATAATCCAAGTTGTTTCTCCATTCCTTGTATGAAGGCAACAGAAAACTTTGACTCTCTCCTCCTCACATAAACATGTGACTTCACATGTGAATACTGTTCCATCCTGTCGTGCAGGCCCGGACTGGCCATTGGGAGGACCGGGAGGTTTCCCGACGGCCTGGCCTGTTAAGTGGCCTGCTGGCCTGAGCATTCTTTTTTTAATGTATTGTGAACGCAACGCTGCGCAAATGTGGGTCTGACTCTGCCTCACAGAGTGTGACTGTCTGTGTACATGATGTGGCCTGCCCACATGGCCACTTTCATACAGATCATACTAATGCCCTCGATTGGTCTCTGTGTGTCATTCAAGGTCGGGAGGGTGTGTGTTAGTGTATGTGTGGCGCGAGCGAGTGAGATAAAGTGCACGCACCGGTTACGTGTATTGTTGTTGTTAGCATCTGGTGCTAGCTGCGCTAACGGATATAAGGAGCTTTTTCAACAACAAGGTGGAGGAGAGTCCTCTCCTGTCAGACTGAGAGGCAGATAACTACAGCTCAGGTGAGGTAAAGGACTCTCTGAGTGTTTAGATAGTTCACTTAGTCTAAGTTCTCCGTCGGTCTAAAACGGTTTGGTCACCATTTATGTAAACACATATTTCCATTTGAAGGGGGAGTGATTAGTAAAATATGGATGAATAATAAAAAAAATGTTTTTTTCAACTAGGTGAAAAAAGGGTAAGATAAACTTGTTAGCTAAAACTAGTCTTTGCTGCTGCCTCAAAGAGGAGCAGGGGGAGAGGAGGGAGACGGTGAGGCTGGTTCAGGAGCACAGACACACTCACAACTATAAATGAACCAAAAACAAATAAATAAACAAGTTTCAATGTTTTTTCATATTGGATATGGTATGTTATTGGTTATGGCCATGTTCTTATGATTTTATGATTATTTAAATGTATACAGTTCTGTTTCATATGGGTGTAGTCTCTTTATTTCCCCCTCAAAATGCACCAGATTGATGCATTCAAGTCCAACATTTAAAAAAAAAAATCTTACCGGGGGAGCCCCCGGACCCCCTATAGGATTTGAGGTCCACCCCCACTTAAAATATGTTCACATAGGTTCCTAAATAGATTTGCACATTTTTTAAAATAGTAACCCATCTCCATATGTTTATTTGTAGGTAGTAGATTTAGAGGGCTATCACTACGGGCAGCAACGCTGTAAATACTGACAAATAAATCCAGCAAAATGGCACAAAAAACTGGTAGTGGCCTGACTTATTGTCCCAGTCCGGCCCTGCTGTCGTGTGTGTGTGTGTGTGTGTGTGTGTGTGTGTGTGTGTGTGTGTGTGTGTGTGTGTGTGTGTGTGTGTGTGTGTGTGTGTGTGTGTGTGTGTGTGTGTGTGTGTGTGTGTGTGTGTGTGTGTGTGTGTGTGTGTGCGCGTGTGTGTGCGTGTGTGTGTGTGCGTGCGTGCGTGCGTGCTAGATTACTAGATTCCCTGCTACAGATGATTAAAGCCATGAAGGATTTTGTATCAAGTTCAAAGTCAGAGTCTGTTCAAAGAGGAGGAAATGACTGACATTATTGTGAATAAGTGCCTCTTTCTTGTTTTTGATGGAGTACCTTTTGAAATCTGAGTTAAATGCAGCTGGAAGCACATGGTCTTTGAACGTGGCTTCATTGTTGGTTATCACCATAGACTGTATATATAAAGGTTATCACGTACTGTATGTGAATTTAAATAATAATCTGTCTTCACAAATTGTGCTTTTTCAAGTTAATCCCCTAACTGTCCTTTTGTGCTTTTTAAATACTATCTAAAAGTAATCATAATGATATTTACATAGTTATTTTAAACAGTGCTTCAAGACAAGCAAACAAAGAAACAACTAATAAAGTAAGAAATACAAGTCCTGAGCCAAGAGGAAAAAGGGGTTAGGGATGAAAAGGTGACTTTGAGGGATTTTTAAAAGACGTGAGAGCCTTTCAAAAGGACCTGAATACAACAGATAAAAACACTTTTATTTCCCCCTCCAGGTCGCCATTATTGCTGGGAACTTCGAGCTTGCAGAACTCGTGAAGAACCACAAAGAGACAGATATAGGTAAGAAAAGCAGCTTCTGTTTTCGCTCCTACATCTTTTACCTCACCTTTTCACCACGCAGCACGTATTCCTGAATCTCCCTCGGGATACATTTCAAATCCCCCCCCTCTGGTTTGATCCTCCTAAATGACCGCCCGGTATAATCCCCTCCGTGGGATTATGAGAGCGTTGCCAAGGGGATGAAAGTTTGTGTTTACACCGGGACAATCGCCGGAGAAATGGTCAATGCCTCGGCTTCAGGCTTTGCTTTAGTTTAGAGGCAGCTGATTGGTCGGTTTCCAGAGGTGTCCACTGAAGGGTTTGATTGAATCTTCAGCAGATGGATGCAATGATTCTTCTAGTGATGGTGATTGTTTAGCACACAACTTGTAAAGCTCGAGTTGTGAGTGCTTTAAGAAGGTATGATTGGACTAGGGCAGCGTTTCTCAAAGTGTGGGGCACGCCCCAACAGTTTAAAAGGGGAGTGATTAGTCAAATGAAAGAAAAAAGAAAGAACTTCAATCAGGAGATGAAATACATGTTTATTACCGGGACACATGGTATAAGAAAATTATGATTGACAGATTATAACAATGAATTAACTGATGTTTGGAGATTAGGCCCCGGTTTATAGGATGATCATTCGGGAGGGGAAAACCGCTCCGATGAACCCCCCCGGGGTCTAGACACTGGTGGTGGTGATAAGTGGTTCGGTCTGGTCTGAAGGAAGAAGGATTAGCTTGTCCCTGAATTAGGAGACAGGAGGCGAAGGGGTGGAGGAGGGCTGCGCGTTGACACCTGAAATGACAACTGACAGAGAGGGAAGAGCAGATTTAAAGGGGTTAGCAGGTGCGATGATTGGCTAGCTGGGGAGTAACGCCCCTGATTACTTAATGGAAGAGGAGATTGAAGTGACGTGTAACACCAGGGGGTATTGGTCTTCCTCATTGAACTTGCGCTAAGCTTCATGCTAACTAGGTAACATAAGATACAAATAAACCAGTTTAAAGGATTTGTTATTGGTTGTGATCATATTCTAAAGATGTTTGGATTATTGAAAAGTATCCTTTCATATGAGTGTTGAGAGCTATATCCATAAATTCAAGTTGTGCTCAAAGTGCACCAGATTGATGCATTTCACTTGCATGCCCCCGGACCCCCCTAGAGGATGTGAGGTCCACCCCCAAATAAAGCAGGTTAAAATAATTAGATTGTAACATTTTCTTTTAGTAAACACTGAAAGCGGTCCCACAGACTCAAACAGCACACAGAGGTTAAAGGTAAACATATAATAATGTTAACATGTGCTAAATATATACACTGCAAAAAACTAGATTTGTTTGGTCTAAAAAAAAGAAAGAAGCTTTTCAGGATTTTAACTCTTTTGATTAAAGTAAAGACGTTGGTCTTTTTTAAACAAAAGCTCTTTAAAATGTTACTTTAGAGATCTATTGTAATATGGAACCACATTTTGTTTGAAAACGGTTTCAGGATTGTTTGAGTGAGGATTTAAGTGGCTGCAATGTGGTCGTCTTTTAACCAGTTTGTCGGTTCGATCCCAGCCCGTGAGGTCAACATGTCGATGTGTCCCTGAGCGAGATACTGAACGCTGAGGTGCTCCCGATGGCCACCGGTGTGTGTGTGTGTGTGTGTGTGTGTGTGTGTGTGTGTTTGTGTGTGTGTGTGTGTGTGTGTGTGTGTGTGTGTGTGTGTGTAGGTGCGTGCGTGTGTGTATGTGTAGGTGTGTATGTAGGTGCTAGGGCTGAATGATTAATCGATTTTAAATCGAAATCCCGATTTGTAATGATGCAATTATCAAATCGCAAAGCCTGCAATTTTTTTAATTTTTTCACAATTTTTTTATTTTTTATTCTTGTGTGTCAGTCATCCCCACCAATCAGAAATGCTGTGCTCCACATGTACCAGCCATTGTTAATCAATCAGAAGTGGCCCATGATAGAAGGTGATAGACAGATTGATCCAATCACCTGCCAAGTGCTTCTGAAAGTGCCTGCCCTTTCCAAATGGCTTCCAATGGAGCTTTCCTAGATGCTTTGGTGAAACAAACCATCTGAGTCAGGTTAGTAACGCTCCATCACATGTTTCTATTACAGGGTGAATCTTAAACTGAAGCTCGACTTTAAAGCAACCCAACGGAAGTCTCATGTAAGTTTAGTTCTTTCACTCGTAGCTCGGGCTGCGGGGCTGCTAGAGACGGGAGCACGTTGATGCGACCTTTCTAGCCGGAGATATGGCCGCATTTTACAATAAACTTCCGTTGGGTCGCTTAAAAACAAATATCGCAATTCGAATCGCAATCGCAATATTTATCAGAACAATCTCAATTAGATTGTTTCCCAAAATTGTGCAGCCCTAGTAGGTGCGTGCGTGTGTATGTGAGTGCTAGCTTCCCTAGAGCAAGTGGTACTGTTCTATATGAATAAGGTGTTAAAGGGTGAATGACTCGTAGTATGCTTTAGGGGTCAAAAAGACCTGATAAAGAGCTGTATAAGTACAGTCCATTTACCATTTGCAATCAAAAAGTTCCACTATCTCATATTGATAATAAAAGAAGATCCATTTTGGTATTTGTTATATAGATTTGCTCCAAAATGTAATTTACTAATTCCACACCCTTCGACCAGGTTACAAGAAAATCAGGCACTTTTTCTTTAACCTCCTAACAAATAGACAAACTCTCATCTTGTATTGAACTTCTTAAAGAGTTCCTTTAGGTTTAAGATTGCATTAAAATTCACAATGGCACCTACAGTATATATTTAAACTGTCTGAGAGTTATTGCGTCTCCATCTGTGTGTGAGAGGAACGAGAGGGAGGTGAGAACACAGAAAGGATTTCTCACGAACATGCAAAGATGAAAACAATTTTGAACAAATTCCATATCGTGCTATTTATTACCTTTGCTGCTTCGTTGCCAGGCAAACACTGATTAATTTCTTTGGAGGCAGAACGGTAATAGAAACGGACTCTGATTCAACACCTGATGGAGTGAGGTTTTAGATTTAAAGCCATTCAAACAACCATCAATCAATACCAGCTTAAAAGCACCAATACAATAATATAACATCATTTTTGAGTGTCAATGTTTTCTAGCTGTGTCGATGGTTTCTGCAGTAAATGCTGTCTGACAATAGAAAATGTCTGCCGTCATGTGAAATGAACGCTGAGCCTTTCCAGTAGTTTGTGGTGCGCAGAGATGACTCGGATTAGGGGCTCAAGAGAAAATGAGAAAATATGAACAAACAAATACATATTTAAAGGAGGACAGAGAAGGATGAGGTTAGGAGGGAAATGAAAGAGTAGTGAGTAATCTAATCTAAAAATGTAATCCTGCAGTTGTTGCCCTCTATCTCTCTCTCAACAACCAACATGCAGTGTAACATGGACCTGGTGTCGAGCTACATGAGACACAGTGGAGCAGGATTACCCCCAAAAACCCTTGTTGATACACACTGTTAAACCCAGATGTAAGGGCACGATATGTGCGTAGGTAGTGAGTCAGTTTGACACATTTTGGTTCTGTTTCTGACCCTTGTGTCTGAGATCTTGTGGATTTTGGGTTTGAATGTATTGACTTCTGGATTCTCCATTTGCCAACATGGGTTTAGCTCGAACAAGTGATTCCACTGCTTGGTTGAATACTCGATTCCAATTGGTAGTTTTGGACCTCCTTCATTCGACTGGTTAATGGAAATGAAAATGTAATCAGACTTGGAGAGTTACAGAAAACCTCGATCAGTACTATCGTCATTTCATGTAACGTTGCTTTCATCCAGACATTGGTACGAACTGGAACAGACTGTTTTTGGTTATGGAAGCAATTAGATCATTTTAAAATCATTTAAAATCAATTTGTTGCGTTAAATGACTCATCGTGTTAGAAGTTGTGTAGTAAGCGGGATTTGGGTTATCACGTATACTTGTTTGCCACTAGGGGTCACTTAAACAAACAATAACTAATGACAGAGTTTGGGGATGTGAACATAGCATTTCATAATGGGAGTAGGTGTCTTTCAACCATTGAGTTTAACTTGAGGTGAAGTATTCTCTTGAACACCCACACTGACAGACACAGCTTGTGTCGCGTGGAGCCTCTAACTGCTTAACGCAGCTTTAGTGTGTTTAAATGTTGATCGTGTGTGTGTGTGTGTGTGTGTGTGTGTGTGTGTGTGTGTGTGTGTGTGTGTGTGTGTGTGTGTGTGTGTGTGTGTGTGTGTGTGTGTGTGTGTGTGTGTGTGTGTGTAAAGAGTGATGTGATCTAAACACTATAAGCCCTGTAGCTTTCACAGTTTTTCCCGCTGACTCTGTCCACATGATGTAACAGTTCAGCCACACAAATCTTCCCTTGCATTGCGTCATTGTTTCTGGATTACAATACGTCGTCAAGGCTCACTGTGTGTCAGATAACATTAAATACAGTTTTTCCAGAATGTGAAACACCTAAGCAAATTACATTACATTACATTACATTTAGCTGACGCTTTTCTCCAAAGCGACTTACAATAAGTGCATTCGACCAGGAAGACACAACCTTGAAGAAAACAGAATCATAAAGTACATCAGGTTTCATAGAGCCAAACATTTCAAGTGCTACTCAACTGGCTATAGATAAGCCAGTGCTTTGTTATCCAAATGATCAACTTATATTACATTTTAAAGGACGCGTTGCATCAGGATTACTCTGGTAAAGTGAGTTTCTTTGCTCACAGGACAGATGTTTCTTGATGTAAATTCCAACGATGAACCATGCACTGCTGTTTTGATTTGTCATGTTTTTCGCATGCAGCAAACATGGACTA